ATGAAACGAACGAAGACAACGAGAGAGGCGACGTTGAATTCGCGTGAGAGGAGCGGAACGATCGTGCACCGTGTGTCGTCGCGACGGTACACGAATAGGAACGTGACCAATCGGTAGCGTCGTTTCGACGCGCCGCAGACCATCGATGCGCGCCGCTGCAATACGGACTAACCGATCCCGGCTTTTTGCATTCTTATGAGACGCTCCTGATCGTCCAATTTGAGAGACAATGGCCTAGTTCCACTCGCAACCAGCTCCTCACGGTCACCGATCGAAGAAAGTTGTCGCGTTTGGCGAAGCGCGATTTCGGTTATCGATCGATGTTGAACAAAATTTTAACGTAACTCAGAAGCAGCGAGGAGCGTTTGAATCTCAACTTCGGAGCGATTGGAAGTTTTTTAGTAGGTGAATCTAAAGCTTTAAAGACTTTAAAATCTATCGAGACTTTCAGAACATATTGGAACGTTAAAGACTCCGGGATTCAGGATTTATCAAGATTTTTAATCGTGTTCCAAGTGATTTGAATTTTCTGCCGTAAATGTATAGTCGAAGCAATTGGAAGGGTTTCAGCGAGTCGTCGATAACGAGAAATTTCCTTTATTCGTGTGTTATCGCGATTTCGGTTATCACGTTTCTCTACTCGAACGTATTTCACGCGCGCAATCAACCCAAGTTTCACGTCGCTCTTCTCCGAAAATTTCATGGCAATATACTTTTACGTAGCAGAATAGCGTTCGATATGCTAAATTGATTTCACTCCGGTAGAAATTCTATTTCCGAGTTGACCGCGGAACGATCGAGAAAAGAAGCAACTCGGTGTTGGCGAGCGGCGATGGGAAATGTGTCTCGTCATTTAATATCAACCGTGCATTCCTGGATTTCACTTTTTCCGCGAGCTTGCGCCCAGAATATCATCTTGACGCTTTATCTTGGCCGGTCTTCCGCGAAAACCGTTCTTGCTTTCACGCGTGCGATTCGCTACCATCGGCTCTTCCGTTCACGCGCCGGGCCTATTTAGCGCGCGTGATCACCGCAACTGTTACGCGTTCATGTGTACACACACATGCCCGTTCTCGATCGTATTCTAGAGTCGACGAAACATGGACGAAATGAAACAGCCGCGAGAACTCCGTTTAAACCTTCTATCACAGGTTGTCTATCTAAATTTCTTCGTAATTGAGGCGCGAACGCGCTATTTCCAGACCGTCAATCAGAAATCGACTTAATGATGATGGTTACCGGTAGCCTCGTAACAGATCGGCCCAGTCGATAGAGAATTCATACGGTCGTTGATTATTATTCCAACGGAATATCAGCCGCGATTTTCTATTCCTGGATAGTGGATTTGTATTTATAGATCGTTCTGGACTCTCTGCTGGTATTTATAGAAGCTCGGTCGCGCTCTTCTCTTTGGCGATCGAGTCCGGTAGGCGGATAGGAAAGCTGGTATGGAAGGCTTGCACGAGAAAAAAGAAGCTTCTCTCGCATGCCAATGGCAAGTAAGCCATTTGCACAAGCAAACTAGAAAGACTCTTTGTATCTCCCTTTACCATTATATTCCCGATTCCTCCTCCACCTCCGCCTCCTCTTATATCCTCTTACACCTTCTGCATAATACCTACTTTTTTATCCGTGGAAACAAAGTGGGCGGATACGCACGATCGGCCAACACGTGTAGTACTTACACGAGCAGAGGAATAAAAGGTAAAATGGCACAACCTTGAGGCAGAAGTCGCCCTGTTCTTGGTTACGTTCGACACACACACGCGCACATACTTGCATCCTGAACGTACACGACCGGCACGATCTGTTGCGAAAATGATTTACCTGTTCGGTATGGAAATCACCGATGTAACACAACTTTCCTCTGAACGTCACGTCGAAAATACCATTTCGCTGAAGACACTTGTTCCCCACATATTTCATCTACGTACGAAAATCTCAGACCTGTGCAGTTCGCGGATGTACATACGTACCTGCATACACGAAAGAATCTCCGTGTTCCCGACGATTATTTCGCGTGGAACGAGCCACGACAGCCGGTGCTTTCGTAAATTGTAGCCGATCGCGAGCGTTCCATGGATACCACACGAACTAAACGCCACTGGGTCCGCCTGGCAAATTACAGTCGACGAAGCCCAGCCAGCAGCCACGGCAATTTTTCTTCTTCTTCTCTTTTCTTTTTTTTTCTCCGTTCCCCTCGGTGTGTCGAGCGTGTAATTCATGCAGATGAAACGCGCGGCGTGGCGACGCTCGCGGTTAAAAGGCGATATCGTTGGCGTGCTACGCTATCAGAGAAGAAAATTTTCTATTTCTGTACGTTCCTAGTGTTATTTATAGACAGTCTCGTCTTTCTATTAGACGGTGCGTGTACCGTGGGGACGTGTAACGAGCAATAGGAAAGCGAGATCTTACGTGAAAGCCGTTAAGGCCGTTTTCAAGCTGGCGCCCGCAGAGAGAAACCGAGAAGCAACTTGGAGGATCCACCGACTATGCCATGCGGCTTGTTTAAAGGTCGTGGAAATGTCAACAAACGAGCCTCGACAAGGACGTTACGAATCGTGTGCCACCGATACGCGATTATGCGTTATTTTTCACCGATCGCGGAATTTCTCGCCGCGCCTCCGTCGCACTTTTTCCTTTTTTCTTCATTGTCGTGGTCTTTGATTAACGTCGAGCCGGTTAATATCAACCGGAGGAAATTATACACCTTCCCTCCTTTTTCTCTCCCGCCTTTCGATTACTCATATCTTGGAGCATGAGCAAGTCGAGTTGTTTTCTCGAGAGAGGATTTCCGCTGGTATCCGTAAGAAATATATTTCCGTGTGACTAGTAAAATACGACAGAGAGGTTGGGAAAACCGATATTAGCGACCTTTTTTATATTAATTGCTCTATTCACACGTGGACACGATTTAGTCGAGTGATTCTAATTCGCGCGCTATTTTCCTGCTCCAGTAACGTCAATTTGTTCTTGTTTCTCGACTCACCCGATGGATAAACACGGTTTCAACCGTACAGGTGATCCGTGGCACGTCATCGGTCATTTACATACGCGTTACAAAGTAAGATTTAGTTTAGCGCGATCTGTTCTACGCGAGCATTGATGTCACCGGCTTCGGAGGAAAGTTGCGGTGAGAAAACGGGCGGTTTTCCCGTAACTTTGAAATTGTTCATCGACGATAAACGATGTTTAACACTTTGCAAGAGATAAGAAACGTGGATAGAAATGATTGCAAAGTATACACAATCTTTTCCCTTCCGGTGTCCTTTTTATCTTTTAACGATTCGGTGTTAATGTCACCGCGCGGTTTAGCTGAATCGCGCCGGGTATCCCCGGTAGAACGATAGAATCGGTGGGCACAGAATAAACGGCTCGACACACACGACTATTCAAATATATACTAACCGTATTGGTTTGGACGTAAGCGACAACTGGAACGAAAATCCCGGTGGTGGCCAGTGGAACAAGCAGAAACAGCGTGTGGCGGTATTCCACGTAACGCGCGCGTCGTTACAGCTAAAATCAATGTATCGACGACCTTATTTCCTTAAAACGTACAAGCAAGCGTTGACCGAACACCATTTCTGTGCTAGCGGGTTTTACGTGCTCCGCTACTGTGATTCATATAACCGTACGTTCTGAGGGAAAAAAATCAGGACAATTTCTGTCTCGAAGCGTACCAGCCTGTTCCATCGCGATCTAACGTAGGTTCGTGGAAATTACCAGCGATCGATACGAATTTTCGTCGAACGAGAAAATAGAAGATGAAGTGATAGTCAGAATGGATCGAATGAATAGAAACATTAATCCTTTAGTGATCCCGCTTGAGTATTCGGAGAAAAATTGATCTCCAATTCAAGATTTATTACAACGATCGATAGGTAAATAGATTCTTGAAAAAAAATAACACTTTGAAAATTGAAGCGTAATTAATCTGGATAGTAACATCGCTAACCCTTCCGTGATCAGAGGAATGCGTTCGTCCCAGTTGAGTATTCGGAGAAAAATTGATCTCTAATTCAAGATCTATCACAACGATCGATAGAGAAATAGATTCTTAGGAAAAAAGTAACACTGTCGCGAAAGGGTAACTGAAAAATCGAAACGACATTAATTTTCCTTATTTCTCGCACGTGAGCACGCAGAATCCTTGCCCAAGGACTCCGATCGTTCTCCTCCTTCGCCTCCTCTATGCAGCGCAGGCTCTAAATCGAGAACACGGCACATCGAGTCGAAAGTTAAACGTTGCACAACGATCCACACCGGTCGCAATATCGCAATATCTTCGTCTTACATGGCACGCCGACTATGTAAACTGTCTAGAAGCGTGCTCCAGTATCTTGGAACGCTCGGCTCGGACGCGACGCGTGTCGAAAGTTTCCCTTTGTACCTATTTTTCTCCCCGACTGATTCGCTCTCGTCAAAATACGAATCACGAATTGGTGAGAATTTTGCAAGGTGGTCTCGTATGACGGGATTACGCACGCGTGTAACCTCTGTGTGCGACGAACGACGGAGGAAATTTCGCCCCGAATCGAAAACGCGCGTCCTCCTTCTCCTCCTCTCGCGGTCAGTGTGAAATTAATCCACCGGTGAGGAAAGTGAGAGCACCACCTTTTCGATGTTCCATGCGGTCGAGAGTACCGTCCGTAACCTACCGTGTTCCGAGCAAACGCGAGACCAGACGATAATGCCGCGGAGAAAAGGTGGTATTGTCGAGAGAGAGAGAGAGACGAAGGGACAAAGTGCAAATAGCGCGGGCAGTGGTTGTTCTAGGCACTCTGTACAGAGTTCGAAGAGAGTACGAGAAGAAAACTGTTTAAGGACGAAAGCGCTGGGCGAACTTGTTGCTAAGGCCCCATAGCGCGCGGCACAAATGTTCAACCTGTCAGAGTGTCGCGAGAATTTCGAGCAGTCGCGCGCGATATCGCGTGGAAAATCGTCGAATCTGGACGTAGTTCGGTGAAGAAGAGATGAACGAAGGTTTAGATACTTACTTGACCAAGATCCTCCAGAAACAGCCGAAGCTCGAGCCGTTTGGCACTTCGCTCGCGTACGATACAGTCATTTCCTGTCTGACCAAGTGTACACTGTCCCCGTCTCTATGTCTCTTCTTCTCTACGTTTCGTTCGCCTCCGCCAACGTTTGCTCCTTATCGGTTCGGTTTTAGTTGGTACCTCGCACCGTGTGTCGTTGGTGTTTCCGGCGGAGAAGCTGCTTGCACACGCGCACATGCGGCGCGCGGGCCGCCGTTTTAACTCTCTTCGATCCTTGACGATCGAGGATTGATTGCCCGGGTTTTATCAGATGGTTCACGTTCGGCTTACCATCAGGAAGCTCTCTCCAACACGATTAGACGGAACCAGCTGACCGGACGGGCCGACTGTCTGCTGACTGAGCTCCACTGACAGACGACAGGACCAACAGAGAACGGGGCCCGGCTGCCACCTCCACCTGGGCTTCAGTGCCGGTTTCACCTGTTCGACTGCCCTGCTCCGTTACCGATCGCTATCACGCCTCACCTCGAAATTACATTTTTTTTTCTCTTCTATGGGGATTTCCACGTTTCGACACTTCCACGTATTTCGTGTCATTTGGTTTTAGTTGTCGAACGTATCGAAGGTAGCTATCGCTGTCGTATAGTACCTGGAAATTAATTTTTTTTCTCTTGGAAATTCAACGTTTCGACTCTTTAGTTCTTTTCAGTTATTGAAAGTATCTATCACTATCTTCAAATTCATTTTTTTTTTCTCTTCTTTTAAATTCGATCGTAATTCTCTTCCACGTCTTTTGTTTAATTTAACGTACCAAAAGTACACCACTTCGAAACGATTTTTTTGGAACGACTGTAATTCTCTTTCACCCTTTTTTTTAATTTATCGCAAAATAGCAAGATAATGAAAATAAGAACTACGATACATCGCGACGTTATTTCAGGAACATTAACATTTTCGAAAGTTCCCTTTGCAAATTAAGATACATTAGATATTCGTCCACGTTCCATCTTCAAATAAAGGTCGGTTAACTTCATCAACTACGAATTCCACGCTAAGTTTGTCCAGCAAACAGTTTCTTATTTGCAAAATATTTCCCTTGCTAATCACACTTCCTGGAGTGCCTGGCGAGAATCCCGCGGCAGGTATCCAGCCCCGAAAATCAGAATCAAACCATCGATCGTCGAAAGGAAAAATCAATGACACGCCTCTCCTTTCAAGCGGATCTGCTTTCGAAGCGAGGTAAAAGGAGAACGTTTTCTGTCCCACTGTTTGCGTCTTGGACATAAACAACGCCAAACAATTTCCACACACTTCGTCGTCCCTCGTTATCTTCCTAAATCAACGGCGCCTCCTTAATCGCTCTTTTATCATCCTCTCGTTAACCGTCCCGATCGTTAAACTTGGAACAGTCAGTCGAAATCCTCCAACTCGAAGTGAACCAAAAATTTTTCTCTTTTGCATCTTCTTCCGAGAAGCTCGGAGGAGAGTTCCTAGAAAAACAGCGCTGTTCTTACGGCACTGTCCGCGTTCGAATGCCGTAACACCGCGCGGCTCGTCCACCTATCGCCTTACCTGTGCACACTTGGAAGCGACATCTCGTGGTCGATTTCTGCACTCCTCTCTCACCTTGCCGTGGCCTAGCCTGCGGCGGAATTGCGACCTTCTGGTACCATCCACCGGTCACCTATCGCCTTTTTTTGCACAAGCACCACCGAGGAAACGCACCCGTCGTCTACGTAACTTGGCGACACACCTGTAGGTATACCGTGCGTAAGTCCGGAGAAGGAAAGTGGGGACAGCCCTGTTTTTTTGGTTTTTTCTTTTTATATTCAAATCGTATGGAAATTTCTGCTCCGAGATACGTTCGTTCGGAGAAGAAGACGGAGAAAAGTTTAAAGGTGAGGAGATTTTGTACAGGCACTCTCCTCGATCGTATTCGTCGGAAAGTGTTTGGAACGTCACGAGATAGGTCATTGACGTCATCGACTCGTCGAAACCGGCGACTATCGTGATTCATAGGTGAAAAGATATAGACGAGGTGTGTGTTTTTTTTTTTCTTCGTCTCACGTGCGCGCCACGTGCTTACAGGTGTTGTTCGATGGGAAGATAGTTGGTGAAAAGTAGAGTTGGGATTGTTCGGGATGATCGAAGGTTGGGTGGATTATCGTAAGACGTGATGTATTTAACGACGTTTTTTTTTTCTTCGTCTCACGTGCGCGCCACGTGCTTACAGGTGTTGTTCGATGGGAAGATAGTTGGTGAAAAGTAGAATTGGGATTGTTCGGGATGATCGAAGGTTGGGTGGATTATCGTAAGACGTGATGTATTTAACGACACTTTTTATACAAGGCTAACTTAGAACGCACACACGGTTGAACGATACAATGAGTATAGATATGGGGAATTAGGAGGTTTTCACGTCTTTTTGGACGTTGTACACCACGTTCGCCGATTGCTGGAACAGTTTCTTCTCGAATTCTGTGATACGCATCCGCACGATATTGGTCACACCGTTCTCGCCGATGGAACAGGGCAGCGATAGAAACGTCTCGTGACAGATCTCGTGGTGACCCTGTGGATAGAAGTTAGAGGAGGATTTCGCTGGTGATGGTAGTAGCATTTTTCTCGGTTCGATTCTGAACAAGGCTTTCGAAGGTTTTCACGGACGCTGTCGGCTGAATTTAAGCTTTATTGAAACTAGAAGAACGGCTGGGTCACAAATGACCCATTCTTAGCAACTTTCCAAAAGAGGCGAATATATTGGCAAGAACTATCGTTTGCAACTTTTCAACTTGGTTTTCTGCGTGTACGCTTCTATTTGGAAAATCGCTCATTTTGACTCGGCCAAGTGGTTCAATATTTCGCAAACTATCGAATGACCGTGCAACTCTCGATTATTCCTAGATAAAAATCGTAGAGTTACACGTGTCCCCCTTGAAAATTGAATTTGCGTCTGGCGTGAAATTCCTTCATGTCGGAAGGTTAATAGTGGCATTGATGTTTTATACTTGAACCAAGGTTGAAACCGGTATGACCCTCTGCGAGTTCTTCAGTATAGACGACACGATGTCGCCAACCGAAAGGCCAACGGCTGTGTTCGAGTATCCTTTCAGGCATCTCACCGTAGGTCCACTGAGGATCGATCGCAAATGGAAAAATAGAAAAGACGAATTATTGGAAATTTTTTGGAAAATGCTCACGCAACGGAGAAAACTCACAGTCTGATCACTTCCTTGGAGAGCTCGTACCATCTTTCCTCGTCCGTCTCGAGGCCGATATTCGGTAGTATATCGCGAAACTGCACACCCGCGACATTCACTCCAGACCAGAGTGGAACTAGGAAACCGTCGGACGGATTTAAACAGACGCGTTTATACGTAACGTTTGCTTTCTCCTCCAGCAGAAAATGTAAAAAATTAGATCACGTACGCGTACCGCGTCGAATTCTCTCTGACGAGCAACACACGATTTCGATATGTACGCCGTAGGAGTGATAGAATTTCTGCGTGTGTTTAGCGTGGAACGGAGGATAGTTTAGCTGGAGAGATAGAGGTGTGAAAGGAGTACTTAGGAATATCGCGTAAACGAAGGGTGAGTGGCCATCCGAGGATTTGGGTTGATGTGACTGACAATGAGCGTCTGCGAAGAAAATTTGCGTAGAATGATAGGTAAAGGGGGAGAATCCTTCCCTCTGGTCAGACCTCTCCGCAAACTTATGCTTGCATTCAATGCAAATCTCTTCTATCGCAGATCTTTTCTGAAATTTCCCCTACAACCATCTCATATTGACCTCGTCGAATTTACCTCGCACTACTATCACCCGTTGTCAAGATTAAAAAACGTATATGCATCTTAGAGTGGAAGAATTAGAGTAGTGGGTCAGTGTGGAAAAGTCAGAGGAGTAGGTCAATGTGGAAAAGTCAGAGCAGAGGCACAATGGAATAGTCAATGTGGAAAGCAGAGTTGCTACCAAGAGTCAGTATGGTTTCGAAAGGCAATAACGTAGACTCCAGTGGAATAACATCAAACATAGCTCTATCGAGTCTCAATCGCGAGAACAGCGGAAACCCTCCAATACTCACCCTGGCTCTCCCCGTGCTCGCCGACGATGTACGCCTGAACCGAGCTCGGCGCTATTCCTAGACGATCGGCGATTAAGTAACGAAACCTGGCTGAATCAAGATGAGTTCCACTTCCGATCACCCGGCTGGCCGGTAATCCACTCACTTTCCACGTTACCCACGCCAAAATGTCAACTGAAAGTAAAAGTTCCGTTTCTACTCGCAGCTTCACATACACACCTTCCTCCTTAACCCATTGTTTCTCTTCCGCTGCGATAAATCATCGGTGTTCGTCTTTCGAGATTCACACACTTAACCTGGGTTACTGACGATCAAGAACACGGCGTTCGGACTGTAACCGACCAACGTTGGTATGATATTCTTCAATATCTCGGAATTCCGTTGCACCAAGTCCAATCTCGTCTCACCCTTAACTTGCCTCACACCTGCAGCTATGATGATCACCTTCGAGTTGCTTGAGATACAAAAATCTGAAACGACACTTTCCTCAACGTTCTCTCTTTTATCTACCGACCAGTGGCGCGTTATAGCTTCACGAGGCCCCGGGCAAATTTGAATTTGGGGGCCTCGTGTACAGGTGTTGGATCAATATTCTGAACAACTTTTAAATGGCCAAAAATCTTGGCAAGTAATTACCGCAATATTTAACTTTCGACATTCCTACTGCAGTTAATGTCTGCAGCCCTTAGAAGGGCTCAGAGTACCCAAGCTTTCGCTTATACCTCTGTCAAGCATGGTTCTCCACTCTCCATCGAGGACGCCCGTCCCAGACTTGAACCCCAAATTGGATTTTTCGATTTCTAGGCGTTAGTTAGGATAATACTAACGCCTGTGCGAAATTTCAGCCCGAAGCGTTGCTACTGCAGCAATGCGATTATAAAAGATTGGTTTGAGGCACCCCTCGTTGGTGGGTAATTGCCCCTTTTGCCCATAGGATAACGCGCCACTGCTACCGACACACGATTTATCGTCGTCTTTACGATCGAAACTTTCTTGAAAGTTCGCGGCGCTGTTTCTAAAATAATCGGTTAATTACCTGTGTCGAAATCGACACGCGGATCTCCTAAAAATACCGAACCGTGGCTGTAATCCATCCCCTCTCCCTCCAGCTTCTTGGGGAATGCATCCACCATGGCCACATGAGGAGTGATTCCCTAGGATGAAGCAATAGAAACATTTACAAGCGAGTTGACGTGACTCTCAATCATCCGAGGACATTTTCCAGGATTTCTAGTATTTATATTCCTGGACCTCGATTTGGCTTTCCTCCGCATACGCGCTTTCACTTAAGCGTTCAAAACAAACTGCGCGTGACTCGCGGATGTTCGATAATAAGCGGCTGTTGAAAGGTCGAGGGATGAAACGCTCACCTGTAGGAGGAGCGAGTTCGTGACGGCCACGCCGACCATGCCGGATCCTACCACTGTCACTTTGTGACAGCAGTCTCGCACAGGTTCCGAAAATTTGCACAGGAGCTCCTCTTTCAAACACGGCTGTCTGAAATGGAAAGATAGATTTCTCGTCGAAACACCGAGGTGGTTTTTCCTTTTGGTAATTGTGTGTTCAGATGTGGATTTATTAACACGTTCACTGTCACAGAGGTGATGCACGGTCTCAGACATAGCGGATCGAACACCTTTTCCTTAAAAGTTCGCGATTCTTTGTTTTTTATCGGTCGATCACTGGTACCTTTGCTTCCGTTGGATAAAATTGGCACTTTTTTTGGATCACTTTCATCAGATTAATGGGGCGTGTATAGTGGTTGATTGCTATCTTAAAACTGAAGGAAACAAGTAGGATGAAGGAGTGACGGTGTATTGTATGCACAATGTGAAGAGGGCGATGTTTCGCGGGATGTATAGTTGGTGGAAGAAATATAGCGAGGTCGTAAATTAAAGCATCGAGTAGCGGCACCAATTCATGCAATAATTGCCAAAGTTCACTATGCAATTTTTCGATTAGCACTGAATCAAAACTAAGGCACACTTCGTTCAACCTCGACCGAGATTTCGAGCCCTAATCTACTCAGGTTTCTGTTAATTCGCTTGTCAATATGCCCCAAAGTGTAAATTTTGACGCCTGACCAATTTCACGACCTCGCTGTATTTCTTCCTTCGACTATACAATATTTCTTGCAGCCTTAAGAATCGACTGAATTACAAATCACTCCACGATCGTTGCGATTTCAAACTCAGCCAAATTTTCTGTGCAAACTTCGAGTTTTCACCGATTTCACGACCTCCCCATATTTCTTCCTTCGACTATACAATATTTCCTGCAGAATCGACTGAATTACAAATCACTCCACGATCGTTGCGATTTCAAACTCAGCCAAATTTTCTGTGCAAACTTCGAGTTTTGGTCGATTTCACGACCACCCCATATTTCTTCCTTCGACTATACAAAGAAAAACTGCGCTAACCAGTTGAACAGTGAACGTGTTAACTTAAAACGAAGAAAATATCACACATTTAACGTCTACCTTAATTTTCATCTCACTCAAAAAAATTTCTGACCGATTTCACGACCTCCCCATATTTCTTCCTTCGACTATACAAAAAAAAACTGCGCTAACCAGTTGAACAGTGAACGTGTTAACTTAAAACGAAGAAAATATCACACATTTAACGTCTACCTTAATTTTCATCTCACTCAAAAAATGACCATACGTAAAGTTCAAACTTAACCTAACGGTAAGGCAACTTAGATCACACAGTAGATAGGAATTGATTTACTTGAGTTCGTGAATACAGAAAACAAAGTCGCTTACACGAAACTGACCGCTCTCTGTAAATCGGATCCACTGTCTTTGCCAAAATCAGCGGATGCGAGTTTCTCGGACTTAATCTTGGCGAAGACCTCGCTGAGTATAGTCGGTGGTAAGGTACGACGAAAGTGCCTCGTGGCCAGGCTTCTCCTCGATATCAAGCGTATCGTGTATCTTAGACATGCTGGCAGTAACGAGATTGATAGCATGCGCGATAAAACCATTGCTCCTGTCACCTGATGATTTTGTTAATTGTCCTATTGTCACTTTTCCACGGAAACTGTCACATCGCATACAATCGCGTGACACTTAACTGCGAAAGAAGGCGATGAAACGGGTCAACGAAATCGCCATTTTGTCGATTTGCCAATTGTTAAACAATCCATGGTTACAGAGATTTCGCTCCGATCGAGCAAAATCGCGGTAAATTGATTTTGAAATTTTTCTTTCCGAAATTACCATTCGCGATTGCACGCTGGAAGAAATGATCGATCGGCGGTTTAATTAACTAAGATTGATTTTATTACAACACTGGTATAAATATACAATACAATTTGTAACATCGTCGATAGTTAGGAATTGATTAAGGCTTCATGTTCCACATTGAGGTTAATCGGTACGACGGTATAAATCAGTCGATGAAAATTATAACGTAACAAAATGAAGAATAAAATTTCAACTAAATTAGCATAGATCTCGTTTTCTGACTGACTTACCATCTGCCGTACACTTCTTTGTACTTCGGCTTATATCGGTTAAGTATCCTATCTGGCGTGAAAATAATAAACATGTATCTGATACAGTTATTACATCGAATTAGAGAAGTTGTCGCAAATACATAACGCGAAGAATATGCAACAGGTAATACTTTGTGGTCACACGCGAATACACACGTTATTAGAAAAGATTCTGCTGGCTGTGGAATAACACTCGCAACGCGTCTCGATCGACGTATTTTTTTTAAATAAATAAGATTTAAATATTTGTGCGTTTAAGTATCGGTCACGTAAAAGCTATGTAACGAAACTTAAGTAGAAACGAAAGTTGGCTCGTTCGAAGTAGGCGGTATATATTTTATACGGCCACGCGAAGAGACCAGATTAAATTACGATATAATTCCATTTTTGTCGAGGAAAAAAAAAAATGTCGTCCGTTATTTATAATTTCAAGTCTTTCTGCAACTCGTACATCTTATCGGCGGATTTTTGCAAAAGACCCAACTCCTCCGGTGTCAATTTCTGCTCGACCACGCAGAAAACGCCGCTGCTGTTCAAACCGCAAGGCAGAGACAGGAAAACATCCTTACTGATGTTGTGGCACTCCTGAAATATCACCGCACAGAGGCATCGTCAAGTTCATTGCTCAACGAACGATAAGTCGAAGCAACACAACTTTTTTTTATACGTCTAGACGATTCAGAAACTCGTTTGGTAATCGAAAACGATACCGATTATCATACGATTACAAGTTATACAACACGCGTGTTGTTATCGACTTACGGTAGCTCTGGTAGATACGGCGTGAATTTGGCCAGTGTGTCGTAATATGGATGCTGCAATGTTCGAGACGCTCAGACCAATAGCCCACGACGTGTAGCCCTTTAGTTTGATCACCTCGTATGCACTGTTCACTACGTTTTTGTGCAAATCCTTCCAGCTTTCGGTGTCTTTGTCGGTACCGACGTTCTCGTCCAGGTCACGCAACCTTACGCCGGCAACGTTGACGCCCGACCATATCGGCACTGAACGGAATAAGCAAGCGAGATATATACATTCAGAGATTTGTGGCTTTCACACGGCTTGGTATTGTACAGTTTTTACTGTTGAAGCTTTCGAGTGTAAACCGTGTCTATTTGGAATTATTTTCACAACGTTTAGCCAGCATTGCGACTAGCTTACAACCGAAAGCTTTAATAGTAAGAACTGTGAGATATAGATCCGTTAAAAAGTAAACACAGACGAGATATATGATCACCTTATGGGACTTTTTGTCACACGATCTGAAATACCGACGTCGTCCAAAACCACTGCTTTTGAAGCGCACTCTACATTTACTGCATCGCGTAAAACGATCGATATCGATCGTATGTGACTGAATCTAATCTGATTCATTCTAAGATTCGAAATTTTATCTTCGTCATTTAAAATAAGACATTCCAAGTGTTCTTGATTTCAAATCCTACCACTAATAGCACAGTGATATCGATAGAGTAGAATGATGGTAACAGGGTTCTAGAACCCCATAGTCGCGTGACAAAAAAGTACATTGGATGTAAGTAGAATACTCTATATATCCCGTCTATGGTGCAAGAACACGTTTCACTCATGTTCCATTCGCGTTCCACGTGAATCAGATTCGGGATCACGATTAAAATTTCTTCCCGAGATAACGTGTACGATGACACTGAGGTTTCTCGTGAAACCGACCTTATCGCTGATAGCAATTATCAATTAACTTGTGTGCGCGTCCATTAAGAATGTTTAAACTACGAAAATGGCGTGTCAACGTACCACTCGTGTCACCGTGCTCTCCGATAATGTATCCGTGACAGGATGTGGGCGCGACGTCCAATTTTTGCGAAAGTAGGAAACGGAATCGAGCGGAGTCCAAATTAGTACCGCTTCCGATCACATGTGACTCTGGCAGGCCGGATAGTTTCCAGGCGACGTACGTTAGAATATCCACCGGGTTCGAGACGATCAGAAGGATCGTGTCCGGGCTATATTTGACCAGCTGAGGAATGATGCCTTTGAAGATGTCTGTGTTACGTTGAACGAGGTCCAGCCTCGACTCTCCTTCCCTCTGTCGTACACCAGCGGTCACGATGCAAAGTCTCGAGTTCGCTGTTGACGCGTAATCCGTGCTGGCGTTGATTTTCGCGTTTCTTAGAAAGACACTACCGTGCTGTAGGTCCATCATCTCCCCTTTCAACTTGTCCGCCATCACGTCGACCAGCACCACGTTATTGGATACGTCCTGTAACGGTGGAAGATTTATTTAAATATTTCTTTTATCTTATTTTTTTTTAATGGAGATATGGAAAAATTGATCTTACATTTGTTAGGATGCTGAACGCACAGGCCATTCCAACCTGTCCAACACCGACCACGGTGACTTTGTTATGATCATTGGTGATCGGTTCTATCACCGTGTTCAACAATTTGCTTTTCAACGATGCCATTTTCCTGTCGAATCAATAATTTCGTTTAGTCTCGAAAAAATTTTATGGATTCTCATCCAGTTTTTCGTTCTGTGCGTTAATAAGTCGAGCAAGGTCAAAAAGGTCACGAAGGTCGGAGCTCCGTGTCACAAGAATAAGCGTGATATTCGTTTTTTTTTCAGATTTTTCAGTGTAGATTAATATTGTTTAACAATTTCTCCAATATTTTTAAAAGTTGCTTTTTCTTGCCTTGCTTCAGAGTCTTTCACGGTCAAAGAGGTCACGCAGAGGTCTCGCCGTATTCCAAAATTTCCGCGAACCTTTTTTCCTTACAATCAACGTGAATCATGTTACTCGGCGGAAGAACAAGAATTGAAAGTTATTCAGAAAAAAAAAAAGAGAAACAAAAGAAATCGCGGTTAGTAAATTATGTACATACGAACGTTCTTTATTGCGATGTTCTTTTTTTTTTCCTTTCTTAACGGAAAGATCGGAAGCAGAAACCTTCCTGGTTCAGAAAGTTATCAATATGTTTACTATATGCTCATAATCGTATGTATATGCATGAATGAAATGCAGATAGAGCACGTAACGTGAGTAATACGCAAGCTCGCGAGATGCCACTAGCGGTATGTGAAGCATGTGCACCGGTTAACTCGGCTGTACGCTATAAGAGAACACAGGTTACACGTGCGAACGGCAAGCGTATTTAAAATAAAACTACAGAAGTCAAACAAAGAAAAAAAAACAAAGGAAACTAGAAAAAAACAGCAAAAACGAAACTTAACAAACCACCACTGATATAGTACACACTGACAGCACGAGGCAACAAGATCGACTAAGTAACACCAATTAAACGTGATGTGCCTCAATGCTATTCCGTTTTGACCTCCTTTCTTTTATGGAATGGTCGCACTATAACTGTCCATTATTGGTCACAGAGTCAATAATAAACGTCGCGTTAAATTCGGTCTCGGCGGTCGAATTCGCGACGAATAAAATAAACGTTACACTAACCTCATTTTGAAGAAAAGGAGGGGAAAAAATTTAACAAAAAGAAGAGAAAGAGTGAGAGGAGTGAAGCAAGCACCAAGAGACCACACAATTGTATTTGGGCGGTTTACCAACGGTCGTCCGTTCGTCCAACTCGTCTGACAGCTCAGAGACTTCTGTTTGCTAAAGTGACCTTGTCCCCGCTTTTTATACCTCCCATAGGCTGCAGCGAGCTCGGCGTGTTCGGGCTGACGAAACCATGGACGCAGCTCGCCGGGGTATCTCTCGGTAACGATAAATTTGCGCCGAATTTTCCAATCGTATCTTCACTCGGATAACTCCCCGGTCACGTATTCCACGTGAAATACATAGCGGTGAAAAACGTTACTTCAAATCGACCGGGTAACGTTGGCGGACGAGGCCACGCCACGGGCACGTATTATTGCGTACCTAGGCGATTTTCACGAAACGAAAGTAACGGCTGCGCATGCGCGGTATGACGCAACCACGAGTTCCCTTCTGAGAGAAGCGTCGTGCGTGTGTTCATCGACCCGAGCCTCGCTTTCTTTTCAATCCTCACTAAATAGCACAGGGTGGATAATAAAAATCAGGCTGGAAGATGTTTCATTCGAAGGGGAACTAAAAATATCACAGTCAGAGAACTCTGGGATTTCTTCTACCGTTAGACAGCATCTTCTATCTTCTTTCGACACTCTCGTTCGAACGTTATATATTTCTTTTTCGAACAGAAGTTTCACCTGTGTCTTTCTAAAGATTCTTCTCGCTTCGTTGTTAAATGGTATTTCGAGGGAAATCTTTGCTCGGTAATTTTCGTCGGATCAGTTTAGTATCACGACTCGAACGACCGAGGTCCAACTGAATTCTATCATTAACTCTGATTATCGTCGATCGAAAATAACAGATGGTGCAACGAGTGATGTCACTCGTAGGGAGCGTGGTTTACACTTAATCAAATGGAATTTATGTGTTGCTCGAATTTACCTAAATCACGTGATATAACCTTTTTTTTTTTTTGAGAAAACATTGTGAATTGTAAAAGAAGAAAACTGTTAACCAAATTTTGCTTAACCTTTTATCGCGAATTGGAATTTGTCGTCGTTTTCCTTTTATCTGGTAACTTCGCATCGCGATAGTGTGTATCGCAGATACATTATCAGCGTGTGCATTTCACGAGACATAAGTGCACGCTTCCTGGTAGAATACGTTGCCGCGGTATTCCTCGGTGTTGAATCATTTTCAGGAATATCTACCGCTGCCTCGGTATTGGATCGAGACTGACGCAACGGATCTTCACATGACCGTAACTTCACGATCTACGTGATCATCGACACCTCTACGCTTCTACCCGGAATATACGTATATACCTCTTTTTTGCTCCTGCGCGCCTATCTATTTCTCGCGGCTATAACGCCTAGACAAATATAATAGTTTTCAAGGCTAGAACGGGTCGACGTGAGAGGAGACACGTCTGTCAGATCCTCGACCTTAATTTCGGTATACTTAACGTTCATTTTTTGACAGCGGTGCATACTTAATGCAATAGAAATAATTTTCTTTTATTTAGTCGTTTTATTCATATTAACATTATTAAATTTGATATTTTCGAAGTGAAAATATGAACAAAAATCCGAAATAAAAGTAATATCGTTATTCTTTTTACTAATTTTATTCGTATTCTAAAATTACAGAAATTGTTTATTTTAATTATTAGAAAATGTGAAAGAAATCCCATATGAAAATATGACTTTTTTGCTAATTTCATGCATATTCTAAAGTTACAAAAATTGTTACTGTAATTATTGTAAGAGAAAATCAGTCAGGATAACGGTGGTGAGCGGTGGAATAAGATATAAACGTGGGCGGTTAAACAGAGTGAATGGTTGTATTTCGAACTATACTGTACGAGTGCTGATACAATTCTATCTTTTCTGAAAAACCTAGTCAAGAGGACCCCCTTGACAATATGGCCTTTCTTAGCCTTGAGGCAGAACTATCCCTAGGAGGGGGAAACGCAGCAGAAGACTGCACATGGCCCACTCAAGCCTTCGCTTTTTGGACTTTTCTAACATTATTAAATTTAATATTTCTGAAGTATGAAAGAAAATGCCAAATCAAATTAATATTATTATTCTTTCCACTAACTCTGTTCATATTAATATGAAAAAAATTGCTATTTCACTTATTAAATTGACTATTTCCAAAGTGAAAATTTGAAAAAAGAATCCCACTGTGCACTGTACTTCGCTACGTTACCGTTCCGAACTTAACGGAACCTCAAGTTGCAATTATCCTTATCACGATACACGCCCTCTGTGTATAATACAACCATATAATACAACGATAAAAAGTGTTCTTCCACGTACGACACGTTGTTTACAGTTCACTTAAAGTTTCCATCCGAGGCCTTTAATTCCTCTAAATATTTTGCACATAATCTAATCAGAAGCAGACGAGTTGAAAGGTTACCACGTTTCAAAAAAGATATTAGGTTTTTGCAATTGCCCTTTACACCCTCGACGCTAACCTTCGTTTTAACGAAAAATAAAAATTGACGTTCTCGGTGTAACGGAGCTCGCGAGCCTTCCTCCGTCCCGTAATTGCAATCATTTGCGTCTCCTTCGCTCGCGGGTTTCCTTCCTCTGAAATTGGCGAGAAAATTCAAGAGAGACGTTAATAGAGAGAATCTTCGCTCACGTTCTCTCCTTTTTGCTTTTATTTACAGTTTGAAAGTTAAATTGATCGACAACGCGTTTAGCCTGCCGTGTCATCGAACCGTTCACGCGGCTGCAACGTCCGCGTAAAACGAGATGGCGCGTATAATTACCGAGCCGATAGGCCGCCAGTCCACGTCTCGAATTAGCATAACCGTAGAAACGGTGTAGAGAATCGGCGAGCATGACTGGCGGTTGTTTAACCAGCCGCGTGATTTCCTCGAAGACGATCTACGATCTGTGATTCGTCACGTTCGTTGAATCCACGAAACGCGTTTGCGAGATTTTATCGATCGTCCGAAGATATTCGACGAGTATTGTTACACTTATCTCGTTTATTAATAACCGACGATAATTTCTAATCTCTTGGGCTATTCCTACAGCTGTCGCCGATCTACGCTAAGGTGCATAACTGTAGCACCGCCTAAATTTTTTGTTGTTTCGAACTTTAGATTAACACGTCCCGTGCCGGACCGATTTTCGGTGACTTTCCGTTCACGCCGCGTGGCCGACAGTTTTGCTTTTCATCCTATATGTCTTCCAATATTCAGTGTTATCGAGGAAAAGGTAACGTTTAAGATACGCGATAGAGCAAAGGAAAAGTTTTTCTTTTAACAAATTATCGCCGTAGTTGCATAGTTTAAGTAAGCGGAAGGAAAAGGCCGGAGTATCGAATGGCCTGAACGGAAAGTCCAGAGTGGGGCGTATGCGACTCACGCGGCATGGAACGTGTTAAAAATGCAAAAAAATTAATTGTAGGAATTGAAAGAGTATGAGAAACAACGAACCTTAGACTAAATCTCGTTTAAATTACCCTCTTATACAAAACGACATAATCGAAAGTGTGATTTTTTTTTTTAATCTAAAGTCCGAAACAACTAAAAATTTAGGCGGTGCTACAGTTACGCACCGCAGTGCACAGTGACTGTCACTTAAAATTGTACACCTAACAGTTCGACAGATTTTTTGCAAACACCTCTCCAATCTCCTGATACGAATGTGATTGAACATGTGCGGAACGAATTAGGCAGGAAAATACGATTACACGATATTACTGTTAGATTTATCAATCAGTTAGATATAACAAAAATTAATCTAAAGCCTTACTAGGAAGTAAATATTTCTTGTGTATACGTTCGGAGAAATCCGTTTAGCTTTACCACCTCTGTTTAGTAAAGATCTAAATGTTTATGATACGTGACAAAAGGCCCTTCGGTCCCAAGCGGGGTTGTAGGCAATATTAGGGCGTTGCGTAGGAGCATTTTAGTCTGTATACAGTGTGTTCGGTCCCGAGCACCGCGACGCAGGACCGGCATCAGCGGAACCGTGTTACAATGTCGCGATAAGGCCTTAGACAAAGGGATCCCGCGAGGAACTGAAGCGAGATCGTGGTTGCCGAGGCGAGAGGGCTCGAGTGTTTCTTCGCTTAAGGGGACGCGCGTTGGGTCCTGTGTCGCATGGGCCACCAAAAGCGATGATCGCTCGATGTCTTCCGTACCGCGACGCACGTGGACAGCTCTGTGCTATAACGAAGCGGGATCGTGGTTGCCGAGGCGAGAGGGCTCGAGTGTTTCTTCGCTTGAGGGGACGCGCGTTGGGTCCTGTGTCGCATGGGCCGCCAAAAGCGATGATCGCTCGATGTCTTCCGTACCGCGACGCACGTGGACAGCTCTGTGCTATAAAGCACGGAGGTTTTCACGCTCGAAGCGCATTTCTACCGAGAACACGCCTAGAAACACATTACAGTAAATTCTCTACAAGAGTCAGTAAGTTTGGATTCTACAAATGACAGTATAGGTGGTCCTATGTCTAGGTCTGCGTCATTGCTGCGCCCATGTCAGTCAAGCGTGTAACGCTACACCAGTCGGTTTCCTTTACGAGTTTACACGGCTCGACAAATCATAATAGGAAAATATAATTTCTTTAATTTTACTTTTTTCCATCTGGAATTTTTTTTAACATGTTGGTGAGATTTTTCTGATGAAAATGA